TTGGCTTTGGACTCAGATTATTTGAACAGTTTTTTTCCCCACATGAATGTCTAACAGAACACTGAAAAATTATGTGGGATACAGAACAATTCTCTATTGTGCTTGACTATCCCACGTACTGCTGGACATAACACATCCATAGCCCTTGCCCACTAACTGCCAGCAGTACCTACAAACATCATGACAACCAAACTTGTAAAAAGTCCCCATGAGTTAGTTCTACGCTTCATTGAAAACCACTGGTCCATGCCAATCATATTAATTGTACCAAATCCACCTCCAGCCAATGACTGGTTCATCAGTCCAGGTCTAAGTCAACCAGTGCATGGCAATGGCTGGTTTGGAAATAGGGTACATGATCTAGTATCAGCCAACAAAACATAGAGGAAATTTCCCGGGGGCTTTGCAGGAAAGTTTCCTAGGAAAGAGCTACAGGAAAGACAGCCTCGTCTTCCCTACATGGTTATATACGGATGTGAGGCCTGAAAACGCTAGACTCACTTCAGAACCAGCTGGACAATGAGATCAACAGAAGACGACAGAGCCAACAGTAGCACAGTAAACTGAGCTAGAAACTTTGTACTCAGTCACCCTCCAGGTCCACCCTACTTCTGAACTTCATTACCTTAACCAATATGTTTCCTTATGTTAGCACCTCTGATTTTGGATTTTTAAAAATTTCCTTGTTGTTTAGAATATACACAGTAGAACATACACCAATTCAACAATTTCTACATGTACAATTCAGTGACATTGATTACATTCTTTGAGTTGTGCGACCATTCTAACCCTCCTTTTCTGAATTGTTCCTCCCCCATTAACATAAACTCACTGCCCCCTAAGTTTCTTGTCTAATTTTTTGAGTTGCTATTGTCAGTTTGAATCCATATAGATAGTTCTTAAAGAGCACGATGCTCAAAGCAGACATTCTTTACTAATTAAGTTAAACTACTGTTTGATTTAAAGAAGACTTTAGGAGATATTTTTGGTTTAAGGTTGGTTTAAGTTTAAAGACTATTTCAGGACAATAGTTTTGGGCATTCATGCAGCCTCAATAGCTCCAGGAAGTCGAAATACCATGAGAATTTGAAATTCTCTTACACATTTCCCCCTTTTGATCAGGATTACTCTATAGAATCTTTGATCAAAACATTCAGTAATGGTAGTTGGGTGGATTTTTGTTTCTTGTAGCTGAAAGCACTCTGATATATAAACAATTTCACAAAGTCAAAGACAGGCCTGGTTAAAAACAAAAAGTAACAACAACAAAAAAGAATATTGTTCCTGGTGGACATCTATACCAAGTGGTATAAATAAACCTGTGGTAGGCTGTGCTGGTTGAAAGCTTGCCTGTTCTTTATGTAAAGGAGCTACAGTCTGAGACTGTACAGTTCCTTCTGTCAAATGGCAGGCACGTTTTGGAAGAAGAATGATCGGCAAAGTTCACACATGCAGTTTTGTTGGAGGAAACATGAAAGTTAAAAGGCAATTCATAGAATGGGAGAAAATTGTGGACCAGAACTCAAATTCTTAAAAAGTCCAGACTTAATGAACTGGTTGAAACTAGAGGACTCCCTGAGACTACTGAGATACTGAGATACTCTTTCAACCTTAAACTGAAATTATCCTTTGAGGTCACCTTTTAGCTAAGTAACAGACTGGCTCACAAAACAAAGAATATCACCTAAGAGTAATGAGCTCCTTTTAAAAAAATCATCTATATGAGACCAAATGGTCTAAAATCACTCTAAAGATGAGAAGGTAAGAGTGCAGGGAAACTAGAGTACTGGAAATGGAAAAACTAGAACAGAATGAATGAGAAGGATGACACATTGTGAAAAATGTAACCACTATCACTGAATAATTTGTGTAGAAATCGTTAAATGGGAACTTACTTTGCTGTGTAAACTTTCACCTTAAACACAATATTATTTTTTTAAAAAGGCAATTTAATCTAAAAAGAAAAAAATATAACTACAGGTGAAAAAGTGATGTTGTTGTTAGGTGCCGATATAATCAGTATTTGTGTATAAGAGTACTGCAGAATGCACTGTAAACAGATAGGGGAGTAAAAAACAGACTAAGTCCATGCTTTCATGAAGCTTATAATTAGAGACAAATGAGAAAAAAAGAAAAAGCCATTAAACCACATGTTTACAGAGGAACAGGTCAAGAAATGCAAAATAAATGTAATAAAACTGAGTAGGTAAGTGATGAGGAAATGAAAGGCAGAGAAGCAGGCAGTCAGACGTGGTTAACCATGGGAGGTTTTCCGAAAATGCCAGTTTGAGCTTGACTTTTGAAGATTACCAGCACTGGAGGGGATGCAGAAAAATGGTGGAGGAGGAAAAGATAAGTACATAGACATGGAAGTGGAACATTTAGTAACGTGTGGCTGTGACGAGAGCAGGGAGACCATACATAAACATGGTTCCATTGCTAGATCCAGGACAGACAGTGGGGCAGGAGAAAGCAAAGTTGTCACTGGTGATAGAACCTCAGTCTGGAATTCCTGCTCCACTATTGCCTAGCTGTTTGACTGTGGACAAGCTACTTAACCCTCCCTTTGTCAGTTTCCTTATCTATTAAGATGAGGAAATGTAGTACTGGAGGGTGAGAGATGGGAGGGGCTGTAAAGATGCAATCAGTACGACTTGCATAAATATAAATAACTAGAAGATGCCTAATCATGGTAGTTACTATCACGCTTAAATCCACAAAAAAATTCATCCAAATTAGTTTCAAAGCATTTATAAGGCAAACATACATGAAGCTTATCAAATAAAGCTGAGAATGGGCCAAAGTTCAGGGACTTGGGGGAAGGAGAGAAGCTTAACTGAAGTATGGTTAACAAAATATTTTGTTCCTGACAGATCAGTGGGGACAAGCAACTCATTTATGAGGCAAGGAATAGGAATCTGGAGGGTCTGTGCCTGGCCTTGTCACAGGTAAACAAAGGACACCCATGAGTCTTATCTAAGTCATATGGGAAGGGTGGTTATTTGCAGTAAGAGGTTTTCTAATATCACAGGGTTCAGGTAAAATTCATCATTAACAAATTCGATATACTATTACATTAGGTTTGAAAAGAAGCTTGTTGGTTTTTAAACAGCCAATTGCAATCCATTATAAAATTCCTAAATTAAAAGAAAACAATAATGCACTATATTGTGATTAAGGGATTTAGAAACACATTTATTGGTGATATTACTAAATGCAGAGAATACAATACAAAGAAATCAGCACTTAAAAAAAATTACTCTTAAAACTTTAAAAAATGCAAATATATTTACATATATTGACCAACTTTGCATATCTGTTTAGATTTACAAACAATTATCAAGCTAATTCCACAGCCTTCATTCTGAATATACTTCAAATTTGAGTTGCTCTGGTGTTTTCCCTTCTAATGCCAGCTGTTTCTGCAGTATCTACACCAACCATAATTTATTTTGTTTGTATTTAACCTAAAAGCAAGACTCCCGAAGCTGATCCTAAAGCAGCCAGTTAATTGAGAATTTTAAAGGACCTCTTTAAGAGGATAAAGCCACATAAAAGAAAAAGCCTCAATACTAGATACATAAAAAGAAAAAATATCAAAAAGAAAAAAAATCATAGAAACAGCAATTCTGTAACTATAATTTCTAATTCTAGCAACAATTCTAATTCTAGCAGTATTTTTAATGCCTTTGTTCTAAAAAATAAAATTATCAGTTTTTTCACTATAATTTTCTGACTTCACCCAATGAATCATTATCAAGCCTTCACATTCTTTTTTTTAATAACACGAGAATGTGATTTATACACTGCAGAATTATTAACAAAAGAGGCCTTAGAACATATTGCTGAACGTGGCAACATAAGTTTGGGGGCCAGATCTCAATTTACATAATTCATAAAGAGATTACGATTCCCAGTACAATACTGTTCAGCACTGTTAACTCAGAAATACCCCATCACTTCCTGCTATCAGAGATTTACTGACATGCATGTATTGTTATGAAAATTCTAACAGGGCCTCTAAACGGGACTGCCCATACAATCAGATAATTATGAACTATGATACAATTGTGACAACACAGCTAACTTACAGAACTAATTTTTTCTCTAAAATAATAGCATTACAGAATTATAGTAACAGTTAAGTATCAGAATTATTTTCCACTGCTAACTACTGAGTAGAAAAAGGGTTTTCTGACTATTTTTTGTGAATAAGATACCTTTGAAATAAAATACTAGGAGAAGTTGAAAAGTGAACAAAAAATGAACTCTTCAAGTTTACATTTCACAGATATAAACAAAAGGCAAAGCAATTTACATAAAATCAACATGGTCTTTAAAACAAATAAATATAAGATTAAATCAATCATTGTGGAAGAAAATAGGCTCACTTTCAAAAGTTCAGTTTGGTTTGTGACTAGATTTCAAAATATTAAAATAAACCAAACAGACTCTAACAACACTAATTTGCTGTACAGGGTTTGAAAAAAGTGCTTCAAGTTTTAAGCTGAAATGAATGTTTCACTTTTGCCCCATCCTCAGAGAAAGTAAGAAAGAAAAGGGGATCTTGAAAAAATTAAATACACATAAGCAAACACATACCAACAAAAACAAGCCATATAAAAACACCTTTTTCTTTTTGAACACTTCAATTTAATTGGTCCTATATTAGGGTAAGGTTTCTATAGCAAGGGATTCCTAACCTCATCCTTTATTTTTCATCTCTAGTAATATTTTCCATCTCTAGTAATTTCTGTTTTTATCAAAGCTTTCCTAAGAAGTCAGGCTGAGTCAGAGGTAGCTTTAGAATGAAGTATATTTGACTACAGTGTGTAGTTAGTTCAGACGTACACATCATTATTCTAAAAGGATGACCCACCAAATTCACTGCCATCGAGTCCATTCTGACTCATAGAGACCCAACAGGACAGGGTAGAAATGCCCCATAGGGTTTCCAAGGCTATAAATCTTTATGGAAGCAGACTGCCACATCTGTCTTCCATGGAGTGGCTGATGGGTTAGAACTGCCGACCTTTTGGTTGGCAGCTTAACATTTTAACCACTGCACCACCAGGGCTCCTAAAAGGATGACAAGTAAAAATGCAACAACAACAAAAAAAGTGCAGCTTTCACTGCCTTGCACTAAGAGAAGAATTCTGACAAACTGAGAACAAATATTAGAAGCCAAGAAATGAGCATTTGACTCCTCTTCTCCCATGAGCTTCTTTAATGCACCAGTTCAGGCTGGTTTTCCACGAAGGGTAGCACCCCACTCACGTAGTAGGCAATGCCAAGGGACAGCAACGCAATGACAAAGATCAAGAGCAACACCCGCCAGAAGCCCAGATCCTCTACAAACTCCTGCCATGTGGTTCGGAAGCTGGAGAGGACTCCTTCACCTTGCTGAAGGTTGGGATTGAGGAGAGAATGACTTTCCATGGCACTGGGGAAGGAGGAAAGAGGAAAAAGGGGCATGAAACAACACACTGCACCCATTTCAAAAGCATGAAACAACTATACAACTAACACCAGAAGAGAAATGACATACATGGATGCTCTCACACACGTACTGATTTAAAGATTTGCATGAATCAGGACAGTCTAGCTTAGATTGTAAATGCTGTACCATAATGACTATGTTCCTTGGTTTAGTATCTAGCAGACTCAATGTTAACCATCCTCTTCTAATAAAGAGGTCCCAAGCAGAAATCTTGAAACATGTCAAATGAGTTGCTTCCATCAGATACTAAACCAGAATATGTGTTGGTTATTTTAAATTTAGAAGAATTCAAAATGAAGATTTGAGAAAAATCATGTCAATGGAAGTAAGCAAAGACAGTAAATCTAAAAATCACTTTTATATAGTATTTGAATCTTAAAAGGAACTTTTTATTAATTCAGTATAATAATCTGACCAATGAAGGAATTCCTTCTTTAACTGTAATCTTCCACTAATGGAAGCTCACTTCTCAGTCTGTTGAATGTCCAGACTGGTCTAGTCATTCACAATTTTTCCTTAAGTTTTCTTCCACTGGTTTTAGTTCCATCTTGTACAATACAGAATAAGTTTAATTTCTCTTCTGCATAAGGATTGAGTCAAGCTGAAAAAAAGGCAGTACAAACTAGCATGAAAACATGGATTCTGGTTTTCAGAACTGTATCAATGAGAAATATGACCACCACAAGCAGAAAATAGTACATTTGACTTTGGTATTTGGAAGGCCACACTGCGATGAAGTGAAAGCTCTGGGGATTAGCACCAACAGTTATCTCGTAACTTGCGGGCCCAATAACAGGGTATCATTTAGACTAAAGCCACAATGACCATAATTCTTATGTATCAACTATGTGTTGCTTATTTAAGGCCATTACTATCCTTCCTAAACCCCTTCTCTTCATATTCTTCCAACCATCTGGGCACAGAAGAATCAAAACAGCAATGTCTTAGAGTCCAGTTCACCATGAACTGTGAGTACACGCAGAATTGGCGGTTTTTTAACCTTCTTGGTACTGCTAACCAGAGATCCTTCAGCCTTTCCTACTCATGGGAAGCTCACCTTCTTTTTTTTTTAAAAAAAACATTTTTTTTTTTATTGTACTTTAGATGAAGATTTACAGAACAAATAGTTTCTCATTAAACAGTTAGTACACATATTGTTTTATGACAATGGTTAACAACCCCACAACACGTCAACACTGTCCCTTCTCAACCTTGGGTTCCCTATTACCAGCTTTCCTGTCCCCTCCTGCCTTCCAGTCCTTGTCCCCAGACTGTTGTGCCCCATTAGTCTCATTTTGTTTTATGGGGCTGTTTAATCTTTGGCTGAAGGGTGAACCCTGGGAGTGACTTCATTACTGAGCTAAAAGGGTGTCTGGGGGCCTTACTCTCGGGGTTTCTCCAGTCTCTGTCAGGCCAGTAAGTATGGTCTTTTTTTGCGAGTTAGAATTTTGTTCTACATTGTTCTCCAGCTCTGTCTGGGACCCTCTGTTGTGATCCCAGTCAGGGGAAGCTCACTTTCTAATGGGCCAGTCTGTTTGATATCCACACTCTTTTTATAGTAAAAGATGTTTACTCCCTGAATAAAAGAAGACATTTTCAGTGGGAATCTACAACAACACACAAATCTAAGAAAACTTAAGTTCAAAAGTAAGATTGGAACTTTGAGAAGCCCTAAATAAGTTAAATCATAAATAAATGAAGTTTAGGACAGGTTTATTTTGGCCTATGTGAAATTTATTGACTATGTCCGAGCTGACGTTCCCTCATACTCAAAGATGTTAGGTATAAAATGAGAATTAAGTTGAACATTCTCTAGAAGCTCATGAAGGTCTGCAAATCAGGATTTTCTATGGAGACTTCATTCAGAATTAGGTTTTCCAATGAAATGTTTTCTATGTCCACGGAAAACCCGACTCTAGCACATAATGGTGTGTGTATTTTTTTTTTTACATGTGTCATCTACACTGTCTTTATCATCCCATACCTAAAAAAAGGAAACTACATTAAACTTAGGATAATATATGGGAGTGGGGAAGTATTTTTCATCAACTTGATTTAGTAACATTATGTCTCGGCTATTAAAATCTGAGGTCCCTAGGTGGTGCAAACAGTTTGTGCTCAACTACTAACCTAAGGTTGGTGATTCAAACTCACTCAGAAGTACTATGGAAGAAAGGCCTAGTGATCTGCTTCCGTTAAGATTACAGCCAAGTAAACCCTATGGAGCAGTTCTCTGTAAGACATCGGATTACCATGAGTCAGAAGTGGTAGCAATGGGTTTTGGTTTAGCAGGTGCTGCCTAATTTGGCCAGGGGAATCTCAGATACTAAAACCTTAAAGGAAATGGAAAATACTGTAGTATACATTCCAAAACCTTGTTTCACCTTCTGCTTAGAAAAGGTTTATTATCACACAGCTATGCCGTAATGCCACGTGCCAGTCAATCCCTTTAAGCTTTTTTTCATTTTTTAAAAATTGAGATACAATTCATATACCATAAAATTCAGCCTCTTAAAGTGTACAATTCTGTGGTTTTCAGTATTCACAAAGCTGTACAACAATCACTACTATCCAATTCCAGAACATTTATCACCTCCGATAAGAAACTCCGTAACCATTAGGAGTCACCCCCATTCCATACTCCTCCTAGCTCCTGGCAACCACTAATCTACTTTCTGTCTCTATGGATTTACCTATTCTGGACATATCATATAAATGGAATTATGTAATTTGTGGCCCTTTTGTGACTGACTTCTTTCACTCAGCATAATGTTTTCAAGGTTCATCCATGTTGTAGCATGTATCAGTACCTCATTCCCTTTTATGGCTAAACAATATTCTCCTGTATGTATGGACCACATTTTGTTTATCCATCCATCAGCTGATGGACTTTTACATTGTTTCTACTTTTTGTGTGAATACTTGTTTTCAATTCTCTTAGGCATATACCTAGGAATGGCATTGTTAGATCAAATGGTAACTTTATGTTCATCTTTTTGAGTAACGCCAAACTGTTTTTCAAAGTAGCTGTGCCATTTTACATTCCACCTGCAACGTATGAAGGTTCCAATTTCTCTATATTCTTGCCAAAACTTGTTATTATGTTGTATCTTTTATTATAGCCATCCTCGTAGGTGTGAGGTGGTATTCCATTATGGTTTTAATTTGCATTTTCCTAGTGACTAAGGATGTTGCTTTTTTAAAATCTAAGTTTCAACTAACTGCACTTCACCATGACACTGAGGGCCAGGAGTAAGGTACAAAACCCAGTGTCATGGTTTGAATTATGTCCCCCCAAAAATGTGTGTATCAGTTTGGCTGGGCCATGATTCCTGGTACTGTGTGATTTCCCTATGTGTTGTAAATCCTGCCTCTATGATGTTAATGAGGGAGGATGGATGGCAGTTGTGTTAGTAAGGCAGGACCTGATCTACAAGACTGGATTGTGTCCTGAGGCAATCTCTTGAGATATGAAGGACAGAAGTGAGCAGTGAGACCGGGGGACCTCACACCATCAAGAAAGCAGTGCCGGGAGCAGAGCGTGTCCTTTGGACCGGGGTCCCTGTGCAGAGAAGCTCCTAGTCTGGGGGAACACCGGAGAGAAGAAGGCCGACAGAGAGGAAAAAACCTTCCCCTGGAGCTGACGCCCTGAATTTGGACTTTTAGCCTACTTTGACTGTGAGGAAATAAACTTCTCTTTGTTAAAACCATCCACTTGTGGTATTTCTATTATGGTAGCACTAGATGACTAAGACACCCAGGAAGTATTAATATTAATAATTCATTCTTGGGGGAAGAACCAGCTTTATACAATGCTGTAAATAGTACAAACTCTCATACTGAAGTCAAAGAGCAGGTATGTGAAAGCAGAAGAAGTAAATATTTCATCCTGAGCTACGTAAGTGACTAGTCAATTCTTAGTTAATAAATAATCACAAATGAGACAAAATAAAAGTTAAAAGTCCATTTCTGATAAAGAGGTGTCAAGGAACTGGCTATTAAGAAAATAAAGATTCTAAAAGTACGCCAACAAAAAACACATTCTTGGAGAGTTTTCATGATGAAAATGAATTTCAAGTTATTTTGGAGGAACATAATCTTTAACAAATAATACAGGTAATGCAATGTTACTAAAGTGCACATGGCATTCTGTTGATCCTGAGTATACAGGTAAGAGAAAAGGGGCCTGCAAATGCATCTTCAAATTAGAATTTGGAAGGACTATGTGGGCCTTTTGTTTTTGTTTATCTTACTACAAGTGCTACGTCTACCCTGAAAGAATGTGAATGTCAGCAGACCAAAGCTACATGGGATTAGTGTTGCCAAATCCTTTCCCATTTGGCTATCCTGGCTGTCCAGTCGGTAGCCCTGAACTTTCAGGAGAAGGGCATTGCTCCCTGCCGCCCGCCCTCCTGAGAGTCCTCTCTCACTGTGATCCTAAACCAGTTTCAAGAGAGAAAAATTAGATAAGATTCTCCAGAAAGCTCTAAATAAACACTTCAAGCTCTACATGACTGATGGAAGAGGACACAAATTTCACAGAATTAACTGCATCCCACAGGTTAACAGGTATAAAGTATATGAGGAATGTTTCACTTACATGTACAGGAAAGGGATTATTCTGCACTATTATACAGCTTTGATTTCTTGCTCTATTTGGTCTACTTGTCAGCTTTCGGTGACAAATCATGAGGACCACTCACTCTTCTAGAAGAAAAGTTCTTTAATTTCTTTTACACAGTAATATGCACTCTGAAAGTATCTACACAAAACAGATCTAAGCTTGAGAATGGACTTAATGGTCCCCAAAGAACACACCAGTCAGCACATAAAGAAGAAGAAAAGCAATCATAGGTACAAAGAATCAATTGAAGGGTAAGCTATGAAAAAGAGAGATGTTTTCATTTAGAACTCACAGAAACAGTGATTCCAACAATGATCTACTAAACCAAACCCACTGCCATCAAGTTGATTCTGACTCATAACAATGATCCACGCGATCCTAAATCCAAGTCCTGGTCAATCAGCTACCGGGTCAGTTGTTGATATGGGCCCTTATTTGTTCTATCCATATTCCACTGAAAATTTTGGGAAGAGATTATAGTAGGCTCAACATCCCTCTCTCCTCACTTGTATGATCTGGAAGACTAAAACTCCATGGAGGTCAACCAAACTACCTGCTAGTGCAAGTAAGTGTGGCCTTCTGATACCTGTGGAGCCAGTGAGGCAAGGAGGCAAGATAGTTTGCTACCTTTAGAGCTTTCTGAACTGTGTTTGCAACTACTTCTCAACTAAGAAATGTAGAGACCTGGTCAGTCACCAGAACTTAGCTTTAACTACTTATAAGAGCCCAAATTTCATTTGTTCCCACCTCATATGAAAGCTGCTTTTACATTACTGAACTGTATGTGTGTTTCTCCCCTTTAAATCCTGTCTTATTTTTTTGTTAGTACGCCATCTCTCTACTCTTAAAAACTACCTTTTTGGTCTTTTCTAATACTGTCCAAGTTCTTGGCCTTCCGTATCTTTCACCTTCCTTTTTTGAAATTACGTTCTTTTTGTGACCTGTGCTTTTTGTGCACTTAAAATTCTCAAACTTGTGTTTCCTCCCCTCATGCTCAGCTCTTAATGACCTCCTCTCCTTGTATTGTCAATACAGCAAGCTTCCTTGCACACTACGTGCATGTGGCACTTAGCACTTTCTGTTAATAGTTTCCCAAATGTAACTTGTAGCCATAAGAACTTATATAAAGTTCAAAGAAAGCATCAACGCTCTGCACTTGACAGCAAATGAATAATAAACCTCACAAAGTCACCACAAATGAGCCACGTACTGAAAAAGTGACTTGCTCTATAAATTATCTCTCAAGTACCTTTCACTCTCAGCTGTCTGCATGGTCTCCAGTTTCGAGTGGGTTCCTCTGTTAAATCCTTTTACCTCCTGTTCTTCCAGAGATTCCAGCAATCGGATGACATCTTTATTCACTCCTCTGCGCTTTGCCAGAACTAAGGGTGTAGCACCTTGATGATTGCTATAAAAATTCATAAAAATAGCAGTTGTTAGGACCCATTTATGAAGAGCTCAGGGAGCAAGGAATGGTCTCGACTAACTCAGAATTAAATCCTAGAGCAAAGCCAGTGGTCAAGCCAGAACCTGAATTTGAATTAGTCTATATTTTTTTTCCTTCTGGGAGAAAGGGGATATATAGGCAGAAGAGTGGATAAGTCATAGTAAATTAAAAAAAAAATAGAGCATCTTCACAGAAATTTATTGAAAAGTCAAATCTTAGACTCATTCATATCTGACATTTACATTTTGTGGGAAGAAGTGTATATTAAAAAAAAAAAAGTCTAAGAATTTGAAGGAAAAAAAAAAAAAAAGATAGCCAGATAAGCTGCTTTGGTTATTTTCAACATACCTCTCAAAGGAAAAGAGAGAATACTTAAATTCTTTTTAAGAGATGGCTTTGTTTTCTTTTTTTAAAAGAACTTCTCAAACCTCCCAAATCTTCAGTTATAAATGGGAGGTAGCAGGAAGAGCTTGAAAAAAGTCTCAACCAAATGATCCTATATCAGAGTGATGTGCAAAGCCAGTATCTGGCTTAGAAGTTGCATACAATTCACTATTTATTTAGCAGTATGAACCCTACAAGCTACTCAGACAAGCCAACACAAACACCAACAATAAGAAAGAACCCAAATCAGAATGAATCCTACAGTCAATGCCCACCACATTTTGTCCTGTAGTAATAGAACCATTATCATATTAACGCAGATTCAGGTACATTAGAGCACCTATAAAATTAGGGCAATATATAAACATAATTTAAAGGTCAAGCTCAGTTTTAAAGGTATATTGACAGCTTTCTCACTCTACACACGGTGTCATTAAGGCAAACAAAAAACATGACTTCCTTAAATTCTTTAGTACAGAAAGGACTCTGAGGCCCAGAGAGACTACGAAGCTAGCATGGAATATGACAGACACACAAGCTTTGGAGTCAGGTGAAACTAGGTTTAAATTCCAGCTGTCACTTACAAGCTGTGTGACCTCTATCAAGTCATTTACCCTTTTTATCTCAGCTATCTCATCTGTAAAATGAAGAGAACACTTTCTGCAAGAGCGTCTATTCTGAGGATTAAATGAGCTAACATAAGTAAACACAGTGCCCAGCCCTTAAGATTTTCAACCGATGTTAGTTCCTGATGTCTTTTTCTCATACTACATAATTAATCAGTAGCAGAAACAGGTCACTATTTTCATAGAAAAAAGTATATTGCTTCAGCATAAATCTACAGTCAGCCCTTGTTCCCTCAACTCCTCTAACAGGATTACAATGTCCTCAATGCATTTCAGAACTTTTCATTATAATTGATCAATGAGGAAACAAAATCAATAGACTTTGAGATCAGATCATTGGTTAGGAGACTAATTGGAAGAAAAGACTAGACTTTAAAAACCACAGAGAACTTACCAAATATCAATTTTGAGTCCATTGGAAACTAAGAATTGAATAGTATCCACATGGCCACAAAGATGAAGGGCCGTGTTTCCTTGATATTCTGTGGCCAGAAGATCAGCACCAAACTTATGCAGCAACTGGCAGATGTCTACATTCCCTCGGGCTGCTGCCAGGTGAAGGCCTGTTCTGCCCCTGCTGTCACGAATATTTGGGTCAAAGCCACTTTCCAAAAGCCGCTTGGAATAGTTAAAGTCTCCGTCGATACAGGCTTGTAGCAAGGGTACGTTAGTCTGAGAAGAATCATTTACAAAAACGTAGGACATTATTCTGATTTGATGTGGTTGATGGGATACACCTGTAATGATATATGAGCCAGGTGAGATTCTGTGAAGCCAAACTAAATCCAGACAATGAAATCACTTAGAAAAGCACTATTTCTCATCCTTCTTGGCCTCCTGCCTCTAATAAATTACCTTATCAAACAAACAACAACAACAACAAAGTTATCAAGTTTTATTTTCTATTAAAAATGTTATTTTATTTTCTTTGTATCTGCTGCATCAAAATCGCCACTAAATCACTACAAAGCCCTATTTTGCTTTTCACAATGTAAAAAGATTGAGAGATTTTTAAAGGTGAGCAAGATACAACTGTTAAGATTTAAGTTTATTGCATTGCCAGAAGACATCTATAGATAACTTAATCCTTAAACTTCACAGAACTGCCTTTTATATATAAATGCCACTGCTGATGTGTTTCTGTGGTACCGTCGGTTAGCGCGTTTGGCTATTAACCAAAAGGCTGATGGTTCGAGCCCACCCAGGGATGATGATATGCTTTACTGGAAACCCTGGTGGTGTAGTGGTTAAGAGCTACAGCTGCTAACCAAAAGGTTGGCAGTTCAAATCCACCAGGCGCTTCTTGGAAACTCTGTAGGGCAGTTCTGCTCTGTCCTATAGGGTCACTATGAGTTGGAATCGACTCAACAGCAATGGGTTTGGTTTTTGGTTTACTGCTGATAGATATTTTATTTAATAAAGGAATTCTTTTCCATATATTTGTTTCTATATATATTTGAGATAATCTATATGGCAAATAGAACTATCTGACCAAAAGTGAAGCATGAAAAAAACTGATCAAATAACTGAATTTGCACTCACTGAGGACCTGCTAGGACACTATGTTTATAGTACAAACTTCAAGTTTAACATAAAGAGAAAAGCTGAGGAAAGGAACAAAGTAAATTTAAAAGGAGGAAATATCATGAAATCAATTCAGACTGTCCCTCTTTTTACCGTATTGATCCTACTCTGCTCTGTTCTGTGGTTATCTTGTCCGAAGACTGAGAGATGAGGAAAAACAGATCTGTGAGGGAATACACAAAGGTATTTGCAACAAAGGTAGCAATCCCAACTGTGTCCACTCTACTATTTTGTCTGACTAAGCCAGCTCCACAAGTTTGCCCATGCCTCTCTCACTGATACTTCCCTGCCCCACTGGTATGCTTAGAACTCTTCTGCTCTATCTAGCTACACTGGCCTAAGTGCAAACAACTAGTGCTCTCTCTCTTCCCCTTGGTTCATTTAAGAAAAACTTAAATCTTGTCAAAAGACAAATATTATATGAGGCCACTACTATAAAAACTTATGAAAAGGTTAATACAGACAAAAAATATCTTTGATGGTTACGAGGGAGGGCAGGGCTGGGACGGAAAAACACTAAATAGACAATAGATAAGTGGTAACTTTGGTGAAGGGTAAGACAGTACACAATACTGGGGAAGCCAGCACAACTTGACCAAGGCAAGGTCATGGAAGCTCTATAGACACATCCAAACTCCCTGAGGGACCAAATTACTGGGTTGAGGGCTGGGGACCACAGTCTTGGGGAACATCTAGCTCAACTGGCATATGTAGTTTATAAAGAAAATGTTCTACATCCTACTTTGGTGAGTACTGTCTGAGGTCTTAAAAGCTTGTGAGTGGCCATCTAAGATACTCCACTGGTCTCACTCTGTCTGGGGCAAGGAGGATGAAGACAACCAAAGACACAATGGAAAGATTAGTCCAAAGGACTAATGGACCACAATTACCACAGCCTCCACCAGACTGAGTCCAGCACAACCAGATGGTGCCCGGCTACCACCACCAACTGCTCTGACACGGATTACAATAGAGGGTCCTGAACAGAGCTGGAGAAAAATGTAAAACAAAATTCTAACTTGCAAAAAAAAAAAAAAAACCAGGCTTACTGGTCTGACAAAGATTGGAGAAACTCTGAGTATGGCACCCAGGGACCCTTATAGATCAGTACTGAAATGATTCCTGAAGTTTACCCTTCAGACATAGACAGGCCCACAAAACAAAACAAGACTAAATGGGCACACCAACCCAGGGGCAAGGACAAGAAGGCAGGAGGGGACAGGAATGTTGGTAACGGGAAACCCAAGGTTGAGAAGGGGGAGGGTATTGACATGTCGTGGGGTTGGCAACTAATGTCACAAAACAATATGTGTATTAACTGTTTAATGAGAAACTAGTTTGCACTGTAAACCTTCATCTAAAGTACAATAAAAAAAATTAAAAAAAAAAAAAAAAGATGTTCAGTAATGGTAGCAGGATGCCATCCAGGTCAAAATTAAAAACTTTCGCTCTGCAAAAGACCCTGTTAAAAGTACGAAAAGTCAAGCTACATACTGGTAGAAAATATTTTAAAAATTAAAATAAATAAAGCCTGTCAAAAGGAACTTCACTGGGAAATTAAAGAGAAAACAAACCAAAACAAGAAAATACAAAGGCAGAGATTAATGTGTTTACAGCAGGGCTTCCAGTTCGTTCCAGTTCACATTCCTGCTGATAATTTGCATTTCCACTCTAGATATACTGATTCAGAATCTATATTTTAGCAAGATCCCCAGGTGATTCTTAAGTATAATAAATTTTGAGAACCACTGCTCCACTAGTGGTTCTCAGAATTGATGCCTAACCAGCAGCATTAGCATAGCCTGGGAACTTGTTAGAAAGCCCTGGTTTACAGACATAGATTTCTTACTCTAAGGTTACAAGAGCTTAGTTACAGATGGGCTTGGCTTGCACAGTTTATCAGGCAAAGTTCTTTCCGGAACACTGATGGGACTGGATGCTAGACCTATCCACCCTTGTGCCTAATTTCAAGGGGATTCAGGAAAGTACGGCTGCTGAGTTTGGTGAGATTCTTGGCCCCTACTCCTTTCAGCCTGGTTTTCCAGCAGTGCCAGTGTCCTAGTCCTAGGTGTCCTTACACTAGAGCTCTGCAGCTACCCTGAATCCCACAGGTTCTCTGTGGAAAGGGGAAACAACATATATTGAGGCTCTGTTCTGAGCTAAGCACCACAACAGGCAGGATGGATTAACCAGCAAGCAAGGTAAGCACAGGTTTACTTGTGTTTACTTACTAATCTGTAGTGAACAATTTCACATAGGTTCACTACAGATTAGTAAGTAAACACAAGTAAGCCCATGTGTACCTTGCTTATTGGGTAATCCGTCCCTGATAGAGGATTTTAATGAGTTTTATTTAACCTTCCTAACAACTTCATGGAGCCCTGGTAATGCAGTGGTTAAGAGCTACAGCTGCTAAACAAAAGGTCAGCAGTTTGAATCCACCAGCCACTCCTTGGAAACCCTAGGGGGCAGTTTTTCTCTGTCCTATAGGGTCACTATGAGTTGGAATTGACTCAACGGCAATGGGTTCTGGCTTTTTAACAACTTCATGGTAAGGCTTATTATACCTGAATTTCAAAAAGGAGCCATTGAAGGCTTTTAAGTCAAGGAAATGGCATGGTCTTATTAGTCTTTCAGAAAGATTACTTGCATGGCAATAGTGTAGTTAGATTGGTGGGAGTCAAGACAAGAGACAAGGTGATTAATCAGTAGGTCATTATAGTAATCAAGGCAAGAAATGATGAGAGTCTGATGTAAGGAAGTAGCAGAGAGAAGGGGACAAACTGGAAAGGGGTAGAGAAGGTTGAATTAGCACAAGTTGACTGCCTATTAGAAATGCAGGGTGAGAAGAAACTGCTAAGGATGATTCTAAATAAGGAAAATTTTGCTTATGGTTAAGAACTGCAGAGATCAAGATAAAATAAATTTTAGATTAAGGCACTATACAACGATTTTTAAAGAAATTTACCCAATGAGAACAAATTATTCAATAAAATAGTAAAGAATTCATTTTTGAGAGTAATTTCCTTATTTTCCCCTACAGTTTTCATTGGATTGGATCATAAACAGACAAACCTATCACAAACCTTTTTTTAAAATGAAAATGCCAAATATCAAGTGTTTTTCAAGAGGTAACGTGTTTTGATTAAATTCTGTAAGAAGAGATAATGAAAAACAATCTAGCTGGTGTTTTTGGTTCAAACACAGTAAGAATTCTTGTGGTTTGCAGACTGGGATTCTTCTGAATCTTGGCTCAGTAAAAAGACATGCCTTTCTTGTCTATTTCTTTTTCTTTTTTTTTAGTGAGAATAAGTGTAGTGTATTTTGAATTTCTTTGTGTCCTTGAGAAACTGCTAACTTTACCCCCAAATTTAATAAGCCCAAGGGAAACTGCCCTAAACCATGGCCACAGTTCATTCAATGTTTCATGTATTGCGAGGAAGTTCACAGTAGAAAATACTCACGTAAGCCGTAAGAAGATTAGATCTTTCTTTCAGTGATCACTCAGCAGTTTCTCTGAATTCTTTAGACGTTCAACAAAATATCCAGAAATGTGCAAGCAAGGATCTACAGTAAATAGAAAATTCAGTTATAACAAGGGTGTGGTGTGAAAAAGGGCTTGCTGTTCTATTAAATCAAACAGGATAGTGTGACCTGTAAATATTCTCCAGATAATCAACTTTTGAGGCTAGTAAAGTAACTGACATGAGTAATAAAGTAGTAAGAAGAGAACAGAAGGGGCTTAATAAGAAGCTGTTCTGTTGCCCACACACAAGAAAGCACAGGCAGAAAGATAAAAGAATCAAATCATGTGCCATCAGTAGAGAACAAACTGGGCTTGAAATTCATTCTAAGTCATTGTTTGGAATTCAGAATGCATATTTTCACTTTATAAATGGTGGCTAAATCCCATATTAACCCACAAAACCATTTTTAGAAATACAATACTATTAAAAAAAAAAAAAGGTAAAAACAGCCAATACTTACACAGTAAAATCTGCAAAAGCCAGAACCTGTATAAGGCAGAAACCTGCCAGAGAAGGAAAACTCAAATATTTTCCACTAAAATGAGCGACAGAAAAGTGGTCAGACTGCACTCCATCAAAGGCAGAAAACTTGCGAGACCCGGAAAAGCAAGGCAGTTCTATTGAGTTCCGGCTCTCACAGGTTTCACTGTATTTCAACCAAACAGAATACATTTAAGAAAAAAGTATTTCTAGTCATCTATCTTGAATGCTGGTACTTAAATCTCCTGAGGTTGTGCCTTCCTTTCTTTTCCGGCATGAAACAAAAACTGGCCCAAATCGACTTGCAGTCTTCTCCACACTCCTGACCCTCCTGCAGACCTGCAATGGGGCCCCACCTTCATGTTCTCACTGGGTCTACTCTTGTCCCACCTCTGTGCACTGAGAAAGAGCAGTACTCTGTCTTCCAGTGAACTCTTCTGAGGAATCACAGAAGTAGGGTCAAAGGGCAGGCAGTACAAACCACAAATAAAGCAATGTTATTAAAGAAGCATTTACTGTGTGCCAGAAATGTGCCAGGTACCATGCTAATGGTGGGATATAAAGTCTAAACACCAAATTGATGGGTCAGGTGGAAATTTATGTTAACCTTTTACTGGTCATCCATGCTCACTGTTGTCAAAATCTCTTTAAATAAATTTATATAAGGAAATAATTAATGGTATTTTATGAAACTTCATTTACAATATGTAAGTCAAGGGTCACATCATAAAAGTATCAGTGCTAGGTTGGAACTGATGGCCATGGCTGATGAACTATGTGTGAGAACAAGTCCTACAACAGAATTAAGAAGTATCATGATGAGCTACCCAAATAATAATACACAAAACATCGACTCTCCTAAATTGCTTCATAGTTTTCTACAGTTCCATAATAGCAATTTAGACACACTTCATATCACTGAACCACTTAATTCGATTTCCTTGAATAAATATTTTGAGTTGACCCAAAGCCTAGTACTATTCCTCTCTTGTCCTGACCACTGGAGCTGAGTCTTCATGAATAACGCCTCTCTCAGATGATTTGCCTTCAATTTTCAATGTTAAAATGGAGCAAGGGAGTGATTCTGAAGGTAGTAGGGTTTACATTACAAAAAGGACAAGTTTTCCTTTTCATTTGGAGACAGAATTATAGATTATATGTTACTCCCTAAAATAACCTTAATATTCCCTCAAATCCACAACAAAGACAATGCTGCTGCTATTTTTCTTTGATATGACAGGTCCCATAAGAAAATATACTTGATCAAAGTACAGATCTATTTATGTGATTTCATACATGATACAAATTCATTATACCTCATTACTAGAAATCTGCCAAGGAAACCTCCAAGATCCCAGTTAGACCCAAATCACTAGAAATCCATCAATAGCTTTCCCAAGAAGTTAAAGTAAATAGAAATCAGAAAGCATATTAACTATTTGTCAAAGGAATGAAGAGACCTAAAGATTTTTAACTAAACTTTTTATTTTGAAATAATTATAGATTCACATGCAATTGCAAGAAATAATACAGAGACAGCCTGTGTACCCTATTCCCAGTTCCCCCCAATGGCAACATCTTGTAAAACTACAGTATCAATACCAGGATGCTGACATGGTCAACATACAGAGCATTTCCATCACCACAAGGATTCCTCAGGTTGTCCTTTGATAGCCACGCCCACTTCCCTCTTGCCCCAACCCCTCCTTAATCCTGACCACCACTAATGTGTTTTCCATTTCCATAATTCTGTCATTTCAAGAATGTTATATAAATGGATTCATACAGTATGTAGTTGGTTTTTTTCACTCAGCGTAGTTCTCCGGACATTCATCACATTGTTGTGTATATCAATAATTTGTTCTCTTTTATTGCTGAGTAGTGTACTCCATGAGATGGATGTAACACAGCTGGTTTAACTATTCATTCACTGAAGGACATCTGGTTGTTTTCAGTTTTTGGCCATTATGAATAAAGCTGCTGTAAGCATTTGTGTACAGGTTTTTAAATGAATCTGTCTTCATTTCTCTGGGATAAATGTCCAGGAGTGTAATTGCTAGGTATAAATAGAGGTCTAAAGATTTTGACTAAAAGAGTCTCTTGGGTCCTAAGGTGCCCCAGGCAAAAAAGAAAGAATGTAAGGTGTGTCTGGTGTCATTTGTATGGGTATTTCAGGCAACAGGAGAGTGAGAAGTTATTACAGAAGACTTTGTAGGACCAAGTGTTTAGCAAGAGACAGGTGGATGCCCATTTACAAAAGGGAATATTTTATAAGAACCATTTCACAAGTAGAGTTAGAGGCATTAATGTGTGAGTGTGAACAGTGAACTAGGATCTTTCAAGATTCACAGAGGGTCAAGTGTGTTCCCCTGTGAATGGATCTGAAAACTAAGTATACTGAAGGCTGGTTTTAGCGGTGGGGGAAGGAGGAGGGACAGATGTAATATAGTCTGACTCTCCTGAGGGGGGCTACTCTTTGGAGTGGTCAGTACTCTAGAAAGGCAGTTCTTCTGTCAGAGACCTTTAAAAGAGTTAGGCTATTCCATCCTCAATGTACCTGGAAGTGGACTGTTTGGGTTCAAACCCCAACTCAACTACTTTACTAACTATATGACTTAAACAAGTTACTTAATCTCTCTGTGTTTAATTTTTTTCATCTCTTAAACAGAACCTACCTCTTAGGACTGTTATGAGAATAAACTAATCTATGTAAAGTGCATAAAACAAAGTCAAACACATATTACCAAAAACCAAAACCAAACCCACTGCCGTCAAGTTGATTCCAACTCATAGCAACCCTATAGGACAGAGTAGAAGCACCCCATTGGGTTTCCAAGGTTGTAATCTTTATGGAAGCAGACTGCCGTATCTCTTTCCTTCAGACTGGCTGATAGGTTTGAACAGCAGACCTTTTGGTTAGCAGCTGAACACTTCAACTGCTGAGCCACCAGGACTCCAGACACCTATTAACAACTCAAAACATATTAGTTATCACTCTCCCCAGGCTAGGCACAGCTCTGGGGAGACAAATGAGTCCTCTGCTGAAGCAAGTTTGTGGAGAACACTGATCCCCTGGTAAGCGTAGTTTCTAGCAACAGGGTGACCTCTAGTGGGGATTAAAGACTTCCAGGAAAGAACAAGAGAACAGGTTTCTGGCAAAGGACAAACCTGGTCAATAGTGCCAAGCATCAGAGAGCATCTGGTTGCCCATCAGGGCTCTGGTTCATAAGGAATGTGTCCACTGACTGGTGCACTGGCAGATTCTCTGGTGTTATTAAAAGCAGGACTCTGGGGGTCAGGTCTTAGAGGTCTGGGCAGCCTAGCATTTATAGCTCCTAACTCCATCCTCTGTGGCGCTGCCCTAGAGATTCTTCATGCGATGAGAAGTCCTTTGGAATAAGGCGGTCACCTGTATCTCAGCAATAACAGTTCCAAACACCAAACAGCACTTGTCTCAACCCAAATAACAAAACAACTTAAGGTGATTTTGGTGGAAGTTTGTGAGTTACTAAATTGATGTAAAGTTCTAATATTCTCTCTCCTTTTTTTTTAGTATCTCAACTTTGGATCCACAGTTTTATGCCAATCTATGAAACTTTAAGATAGTATTCTTGATTAAGGATAGACAGAATATGTTCTATTTTAATACATACTTATTATACCATAACTTTAAATTGGTCTTCCATATCCAGTATCACCAACCACACATAATGTATTGATTTTTCATTCTGAAAGGGTACAGGGAAAGGCAACAGTAAGTGGTTTAAATTCTTGGTTTAAATGGACTGACTACATTATGCCTACATAGCAACCCTGCTCAGAGGTCAAAGCACTAGACTTCAGCAAAATTCAAGGAAAAACAGGCTGGAGAGACATTTTATTAAATTTTATTGCCTACATTTTCTAATGTCAAAGATAAGTAATAAAGCTGAGAAAATGAGTGCTATACAATAAATGGAACTCAAGAATCTGGATTCTCTATATTTCACTTGGTATTCTTATCCTTTAAAAGGATACGCTTTTAAAAGGATGATTTGTTTGAAAATTTAAAATAACCTCAAGGAACCATAAAATAAGAACATCCAATGAAGTCATTAAATCCTAACTCCTAATACTTTAGAATTTCTATTCTTAAAACCTAAGTTCTGCACAGATCCACAGATACTGGGCAAGAAAGAAAACTATGTCTAAGAGAAATCTAGCTGCGAGCAAGTAAGAATTTTAACAATTTAAAATCCTTCCAAAAACACTGATAATGTATTTCTTCAGTCTGCTTATCTTCAGCAGCTATATTTCTCTGAAGGGTGGTGTCATGGATTGAATTGTGTCCCCCAAAAATATCTGTCAACTTGGCTAGGTCATGATTCCCAGTATTGTATGATTGTCTACCATTTTGTAGTCTGATGTAGTTTCTCTATGTGTTGTATATTCTATCACTATGATGTAGTAAGATGGATTAGTGGCAGTTATACTGATGAGGTCTACAAGATTAGATAGTCTCTTAAACCAATCTCTTTTGAGATTTAAAAGAGAGAAGAGAGACATGGGAACCTCATACTA